ATTCAAATATTGGCTATAATCAAAAGTATCCAATAATCCTGCCAAAAAGACATCATTGTACGGATCTAATTATTGAACATTATCATAAGCAATGCCTACATTCAGGTCTGCAAACAACTTTATCTATAATTTCTCAAAAGTATTGGATTATTTATTGCAAAGCTACAGCGAAGAGAATTCTAAAACAATGTGTTACTTGTTTTAAACATCGAGCCAAAGTCGTAACTCAAATTATGGGTGAACTGCCTCTTGAAAGGGTAGTACCATTCCGGCCTTTCCAAAGAGTCGGAGTAGATTTGGCAGGCCCTATTCTTACTAAGCCAATGCTAAAGAAAAAAAAAACACTTTTAAAAACGTATATCGCTTTATTTATTTGTTTTAGTACCAAGGCAATACATCTTGAGGCGTTTCCAGTCTCACTGCAGAAGCATTCAAAGCTGCTCTAAGGAGATTTACTACAAGACGCGGTTTACCGTCAAATTTATTCAGTGATAATTCTGCTAACTTCAAATCCCCCATAAAATTCTGATAGATTTTATAAAGAATCAAATATTTAAATTTCTGTGCGCAAAGAGGGATTAAGTGGCATTTTATTCCTCCCTCGGCTCCCCACTTTGGTGGACTGTGGGAAGCAGGAATCAAATCTGTCAAAAATCATCTAAACAAAGTAACAAAATCTGCCATTCTTAACTTTGAAGAATTTTACACTTTACTTATTCAGATAGAGGCAATTTTAAATTCGAGACCACTTCTTCCCCTTGATTCCAATTTTGATTCATATGAAGCGCTAACTCCTTCTTATTTATTGATTGGCTCACCTATTCTAGCTATTCCAGATGGAGATTTGAATAATCTAAGTCACATTTACAGATGGAAATGTATTCAATCCATGAAGGCTAATTTTTGGAAAAAAAATTTACAACCTGGACGGCTTGTACTCATGAAACAAGATCCCTTACCTTCTCATCATTGACCTTTGGCGCGAATCATTAACACTTATAAAGGACCAGACGGACATGTTCGAGTCGTAGACGTTAAAACTCCAAAGAATGTGTTCAAACGTCCCATCACCAAGATAGCTCCTCTTCCTTTCAAGGACTTAACTTTATCCTTTGTTGTACTTGGTTGTCCAACAGGGGGGAGTATGTTTGGTTAAAATTATTATTATTATTGTTATTTTATTATTATTCTTTATTCTCTATTGTTATTATGTAATTTGTAGATATATTCATTGATTATTAGTTTTTAAATTTGTTAATTTTTTCTTAATTCGGCAACAGTGGGTTGCTAATTTTTGTTTTGTTTTTTGTTTTGTGATGTAAATTAAAAATCGTATTCAGTGGTGTGTATGTAAAATTCTAAATTCTTTTGTTTTGTTGTTTGTAGTAAATTAAAAAATTCTAAACTCTAATTTAAGTCAAGTCTTTGTTTTATTCTAAAACGTCGCCTGGAGAAGAACTCAAACTCAACGAAACACTTATAAGATATAATTTAAGTATATGCGCGAACAGTCTCTGAGTTAGATAGAGGTAGATTGTAGCCTACCGGGATTGTGGTTTATCGTGCCACAGTTTTGCTGCTCACCTCGGTCGAGATCCCAGGACTGTTAGCAGGACATAGAATCTATGGGTTCAGGAGTGTCACACGGAACGACGTACTGGATTTCAACGGTCCGCTATCACTAATAGCTGAGAAGACCGACATGCTACCCGAATATGACCACGTCAAGAGCCCTGAGTCAAGAAATGGGATTGTTTGCAAGTCAAACATGTCTGCATGAATAGTTCGACGACGTTTGCGGCAGTATGGGCTGTCAGCTATCCTTGACGCTGCATCACAGACAGGAGCGCCTTCATTAGTTTGATCAACGAAAAACCTGGACGCAGGAATGGCGTGACGTTGTGCTTTCAGACGAATCCAGTTTCTGTTTGCAGCACCACGATGGCCGTATCCGTTTTTGACGCCATCGTTGAGAAGGCACATTGTCAGCGTGCATTTGACATCGTCATACTGGCCTATCACTTGGAGCGATGGTATGGGGTGTCATTAGATACATATTCCGACACTTTGAACAGTTCCCTTTACATTTTTGATTGGCCTGAGAAACGCTACCTTTCAGAACAACAATGCACGACCGCACGTTGCCGGTATTGTAAGACTTCCTACATACACAAAATGTTCAGATGCTTCCCTGGCCAGCGTGTTCTTCTGATCTGTCACCAATAGAAAACGTCTGGTTAAAGGTTGCCGAGCGATTAGCTCGTCACCCCACGCCAATCACTACTGTCAATGAACTGTGGTATCGTGTTGAATCTGCATGGGAAGCTGTATCTGTACATATCATCCAATCTCTGTTTGACTTAATGCCCAAGCGTATAAGTGCTGTTATTGCAGCCAGAGGTAGTTCAATCGATATTGATTTCTCAGAGAATCCATACATTCTAATTTCTTGAATAATTTAATCACTTTCCAGTAAAATGTATTTTTCAAATAAATATCACTTTGTTTCTGCATTTCTTCATAGTGTAGCAATTTCAATAGCTTGTAGTAATAATGACACAAATCGTTAATATAATAACTAGGGAAAACAAAAGAGTTGCAGTAAAAATTAAATTTGCATTTATCATACCCCAAATTTAAGAAAATAAAGTTGCATTTATTTTTAATATACGATATCTAAAACTACCATATTCATACAAAACAAAAACAATAATGTATTAACAATTTTATGCTTGATTATATAGCCCAGTATTATAATATAGAAGGATATATGCAAGAACGTTGCCATCGTTGAATGTCTCTCCTTTGCGAGTAGTTTCTTTGAAACTGAGACTGGTGTGTTGCTTGACACCGATGTCTTAGCAAACAATGACTTGGGGCAATATCGTCTCGCTGAAGTGTAGCAACCAGGTCTCATTGTTGTTCAATCGTTATTTTGGATTTCAAGGTTTAAGGCTTCAAGAATCTTCGTTAAAACCAATCGAGATCTAATATCTCCGTACGCTGTCTCAAATGTTGTACGCTGTGTTGATTCCGAGTTTTCTACTAAATAAATAGAAGATTCGTAGCCGCTTTTAATTCTCAGCAAACAATTTGACAGGTCATAAACGGCTTCTTTTATGCGACTAGCTAAAATGCCTCCACCGCTGAAACCGCTCACAATGTCTATTACAATTGAAATGTGGCCAGTGTAGTACAATACTATCACGTAAGCCATGGTGTCGATGGCGACGGTTTGAAAATGACCTTTTCGTTTTTATTTTTTACTGTAGAAGCCTTAAAACGAGCGATGAAATTGTCCACATTTGTGTCAAATCCACGGATGCTCCTCTGCACAGTTATGAAACAAGTGTGGTGTGCAAGTAACATGGAGCAATCCGGGATACTGCACTTTGAGTGTCTTTCCAGCTGTAGTCATCTACGTGAGGCATCGGATAGCAGTAGAGCAAAGCCCTCTCTCTCCACATTTGGAGATTTCAAAATGCCAACCGATGTGTTGAAATACTTCTTGACGTTTATGACACTTTCGTCTGTTACGATGAACACCTACTATAAACTAACTTCCTGTTTGGTCTGCAATACTTCGGCGGTTGCAAGAACAGCCACATGTGTGTGATCGTGGGGCTGATTCAGATGGCAAATCACGTCCCACGAAACTGAAAAGTACCACGAAAGTAGGGTCGTTGTGTTTTATCCGAAGACCATTCCATCCTTGTCAAGGGGAGTGCTAACCGTCTCTGCTCTTTTTTTTTTTTTTTAACGAAACATTTCAACGTGAAACTGAAGAGAGTTTTGATTGTTGAAGTTTCACACTTTGTATAAGGGAATGTTAGCAGCAAGAAAAGCCGCCACAATTTTGGCAGTTAACTCTGTTTGACTGAGGCTCTCACCAGCGGTCTTCGTAAGGTTTTTCACAGACGCTCATTGCAGACGACGAAATATGGCGCAGTAGAGATCGTTCCGGGGCGTGGTCACCTTGAATTCTTTTGGGAACTCCGCAACATAGGCTCGTCACTCCTATGTCTAAACTTTAAACTTTGTAGTCACAAATTGACATTCTTGATTACTTGCAAACACAAATGAAGTTTGATTCCTGTAGTCACAGACTGGAGGACTAACAAAAATAGTCTCAATAAATGGTAGTGTCTTACGGTAGTCTGAAACCTTTTATATTTTAAATATAAATTCCTTATTAAGGACTACAGATAATAGGGACTAGCGATAATGGGGCTTATATTTAACTTTCTTGAACACTCATTGAGGAAAAAAAACTAAAACAAACAAAAACACATACAAGGAGCGCCAGGAAAGTTTTCCAATAAGCTCTAACATGTACATACAGTTGGTCACAAGTTCGAGCATGTTGAGAACGATTTATATCTGAATGGTTCACATAATTTTGACTGCTAGATGTTAGTTTTATTTAAGCTGTGAAATGATGGAGTATTAGTATTGCCATCCTCTGGACCAAAAATGCTAACCAGGTTATCATGCACTCTATCTTCTCACATGAATGGAATATTGAAGCCTGCTTGAAGAAAATGACTTCAGCACATGAAATTGGAGTTTCAGTGGGGCAATATTTTTGTGATCAAAGATGTTTCAAAGTCAGGACGTTCAACCTCAACAGTCAATAAAGAAAACCTCGCGGCAGTCAATAAAATGTTGGATAGGCACAATTCCTATCGTCAGATAGAAGAGAATTTTGACATTCCTGCTCCAGAAATTCATATCATTCTTGCATGACCATCTACTACACGTGAATAAAGTTTGTTTCCTTTGAATGACCTATGTCTTTACTGATAAACAGATGATGAATTATAATATAATACACTGCGGCTTGTGATTGTAAAACAACACTTGAAGTTACACCGCATGAGTTTCTTTTAAATGAAAAATCAAAATTTATTTCAAGGTGAAATATTGACTATTTCTAACCTTTTTGGATGAGGTATGAAAGGGTGAATTATGAAGAGTAATGATGAACGGAAAAATAAAAGTGTCCAGGGATGGGAATCGAACCCACAATGTTCCGCTTACCGGGCAGATGCCATGTCCACTATGGCAAGCAGAACATTGTGGGTTCGATTCCCATCCCTGGACACTTTTATTTTTCCGTTCATCATTACTCTTCATAATTCACCCTTTCATACCTCATCCAAAAAGGATAGAAATAGTCAATATTTCACCTTGAAATAAATTTTGATTTTTCATTTAAAAGAAACTCATGCGGTGTAACTTCAAGTTTTGAATTATAATATATTTGGTAAGTGTTGGAGCATCCTCCCTACAGTCCTGAACTCGTCCTGTTTTCTCATGCGAACAACAGGCTTAAAGACAAATTTTGTGTGATGAAGGCCTTCAAAGAGTGTGATGATGAATGCAGTCTGATTTCTTAATAAACATGGAAGAGTTGGCTTGATGACTTTCGAATGATAAAGAAGTGTGGTGGGAAGCATTTTGAAAGAGACTGTGGAAAATAAAGTGCAAAACTTTCCTAGCAGCACCCTTTATGTCAGTAAAATATAATAGCTGAGAACTCTAGCTGTCACTGTGGCAAGGAAATTTAGGACTCAAGACACCTACTGCTGGAATGCCCACTCTGTAAGGGCTCATGATCCAGGAATACTGGATGAGCAGTGTTTTTACCCCATGTTAGGAGCAGTTGCACATTGTGTCTGTTTCTCATGTCATATTGGAGTTAAGTCGGCCTGCTACTGAGTAGTGCTCAGATTCTTAATGACAAAGGAAGATACATCCTACTTCACCCAGTCATGATGGTTGTCCAATCTCCTCACTAAGCTGCAACAGCTGTGGCGCAAAAATTGGTCCATAAATGCAGTATGTCCTCTAGATCTGGTGCCTGAATCAATATTTCTAACATGTCTTAGCACATGGCTATCTAATTCTGTGTGCTTTCATATTTCTAGTAGTTTAATGAAGTGTCTGTTCTCTCTCTCCTTCAAGTGAGAACAACTTTTTGTGTAGGTTGGATACATAAATATTGCTAATGAAACAAAACCTTTCTTATTATTTATATAGATCCTACAATAACCCAACAGACACCCTTCTTAAGGAAAGCCATCTTCATAATGTGAAAAAATAGTACAAATGTGATATGGTGTTCTGGAATAAGATGCATAAATTAAGAAAAAAAAAAAAGGGGGGGGGGGGGGGCATCTCCTTATCGTGCAACTGAAAGTTGCTGATGGCTTGCGTCATCTATGCACCTGAATGACCAGTTTTTTGATCGCTGAAGTACAGCTTGCACCACACTGATGAGGGCCAACTGCCCGAAACATGTACATGGTTAGCTTTTCTTGATTAATCAAGAATGGGTATTTGGCCAATTCTGGAATAATTAAAAATCAAGGAATAGTTGATATTTATTTTGATAGATGGTGCAAACCATTAGCAACTTTCAGTCACACAATAAGGAGATGCGTTTTTTTCTTATCTTCATAATGTTTACTCCTCACCCATTTATTATAAACACCTTATGAAATGGGGGGTCGGTGGAAGGGTGGTCTAAACCTATGGTTTTTGACCGCTACGACCCGGGATCGAATCCCCAAATTGGGCACTTTTTTATGATTAAAAAAAAAAGAATGCTCCAATGGCCCCTGATTCTTGCAAAAGTTCAACCCCACCAGCGAATGCAAGTAACCAAACCGGGCTCTGGCACATTTGTAAGTGCAAAGTTGAACTGCTTTTCACATGTGTAGACATGTGGTGCACTTACAGTAAAAGCAGTCATCTACTTCTACCCACCATGATTATCATGGCCTGTACCACATGTACTAGGGATAAGCAAAAAAAAAAAACTATTATAAAATAGCATATTCTTGAGAAGGTGGATTGCCAAGATGTTAAAATAAATAATAAGACCACGGTTCTCGTCCGATCACGAAAGTTAAGCAACGTCGGGCCCGGTCAGTACTTGGGAGGGTGACCACCTGGGAACACCGGGTGCTGTAGGCTTTTCTCTTGCTCGAGGAGCATGAACTCATGGAATTCGTGTAATCTTTACACAAGGGGATAAGAAACAACAACAACAACATATGAAAGGTTGTGAAGTGTCAACAATATTGAACCCATCATTCTGAAAATGTCTCCATGATGTTTGTCTCCAGTACCCCACATCTTCCAGCAAGTTGACAACATCAGTATCCCAAGATCAATGTGAAGTACACCAGTAATGTATCCCAGCAAACACACACCACACATAGAAACTATTCAAAATATTTATTTATTCAATAACTCTAATTATTTAATTCATTGGGAGAGATGCCAACAAGACAACAGAACAACTGAGAATTATCAACAAAAAGAGATTCACTATGAAAACAATGAGTGGAAGAATATAATCTAATATTGTTATATAACATTATATATACAGTAGAACCTCCATGAGAGGACACTCACGCTAGAGGATACCTCTCTACAAAGAACAGCTTTCATTTGCAAAATTAATATTTTTACTATTTAGAAACTCTCCGGTAAGAGGACACCTCTCTACAAAGGACAGTTCTCATTTGCAAAATAAACATTTTTACAATTTAGCAACTCTCCGGTAAGAGGACACCTCTCTACAAAGTAAAGTTTTCATTTGCAAAATTAACATTTTTACTATTTAGAAACTCTCTAGTAAGAGGACACCTCTCTACAAAGGACAGCTTTTATTTGAAAAATTAACATTTTTACAATTTAGCAACTTTCCGGTAAGAGGACACCTCTCTACAAAGGACAGTTTTTATTTGCAAAATTACCATTTTTACTATTTAGAAACTTTCCTGCAAGAGGTCACCTCTCCCTAAAGGACACTTTGTCTCTGCAATTAGGTGTCCTTTACAGGGAGGTTATACTGTACATAGATATAACTTTCCTTAGAAAAAATAGAATTAAATATATTGATACAACAACATAGAAACTGGATATAATTAAATATGTAGTATTCATAATAATTTTGTTGTGGGCACACAGAGAGGAGCTGACATCAAGTGAACATTGTCAACATTTACATGGCTTTCAACTCCATCTTCGCCGGTCCCAAGCCCGGATGAAAAAGGAGGAGGGAGAGCAGTATCAAGCTCACTAAAAACCTGGGCTCAGCTGGACAGACTGATAGCACCAGGTAAGGGTTCCTAATCCAGGGATACAGGATGAGCAGTGTTTGTACTCCATGTTAGGAACAGCTGCACATGGCGTCTGTTCCTCATGTCAGAGGCGACCATTTCTTTTGGAGCTAAGTCAGCCTGCCACTGAGTAGTGCTCCCAGTCTTAATGACAAAGGCAGACACATTCTACTTCACCCAGTCATGATGGCTGTTAAACAGATACCATCAAGGGTCACAACTTAATACCCTAATATGATTGAGTGGAGTTATAAAAGAAAGAAGACATAGCTAACAGAGACCTACAATTTAGAAACACAAACTATCTATTTGTGAAATTTTGGCAATTGTGGGATATACTAAGCTGATTGGAATTAATTAAATAACTTAACTGACATTTTAAAATAGGTTTCAATGGGAGTTTTGCCCTTTCTCAATCTGTAGAATGAAATATTTTTCATTCTCCACGGCATTTATCTTTATCTACAGGTTCAGAATGTGTATGTGGGCAAGACCTGAAACATTTTTCTTTTGTCTGATGATGGTAACAACGCTGTTACCAAAAAATCACATACAATTTATCTGAATTTGGTCTTATCATCTATAGTTTATAATCTATAACCCAAATTGTACCATATCATATATAGGTCTAAAGAGTAGAGGGTCAAGTAAGCTATATATAATAAATGAAAACATTAAGACGCGAAATATATATATATATATATGGCACGTTATTACTTTATATTAAAGTAAGCTATGTATATAAGGATATTATGATGTACTAGCACGCTATCTGTTATGAAAATTCGAAACTATTTTAGACATGTATGATTCTTTTTTAAATTAAACAATTTCTACTGCCCTTACTGCAATGGAAATTAATCCCATTAATTTTTCCATTGCAGTAAGGACAGTAGAAATTGTTTAATTTAAAAAAGAATCTTGCATGTCTAAAATATAGATGGCGTCAGATTTTGACGTTTATTTTGATGGGAGAAGCGCCCATTGCTTCTATGGACGTCTAAAATAGTTTCAAATTTTCATATGAAGCATCATTGCTATCAACCTGGAAAACCTTCTAACTTTGTGATGTTCAACAGTGATAGCTTCCTCAGTGGCCCACAGTGTAAGAACAATTGCACTGTCATTCCAGAGCTTCATTTACAACTTCAATATAGTTAATACATATACTTTTTATTTGGAAAAATATATAATACACATCTCTCTATATAATAATATTAAAACAAAAAAAAAAAAGATCACTTATGTATAATCATTAATAAATGAGCACAAATTTATTAAAAAAATAATAAAAATGTTGGCACAAAGGAGGTGGCATGTGCACACAGAGGTTTGTACATTGGAACAAGTGACTAGATGACTGCAGAGGTGGAACAATTTTTACATCGCTGTTTTTACATCTCCTCACAAAAATAATATTGTCATTTATACATAGAGAGTAACAGGACATTCCACTTCTCTCCTGGATGTCAGAACTAGCCGATGCTAGCAAGCCACCAATCCCGTCCAGAGATGATAGCAGCAATGGTTGACGATGTCTTCCACCAGCCTCAGCACTGCCTGGTGGTTGGGAAGTCGGGTCAGATCAGACACTTGATCTCGGAACACCAGGCTGAACTTGTTGTCAAAGTGGGGCTCGCGGTTCACCTGCAGATACAGTCGTGGTTAAACCAGTGTAGACTTCCCAGCCCAGCTGGGTAGAGAATCTAGAGAACTTTTAATATGAGAGGTTCAGGAGGATGGTATTCATGTAACAATGTTTTGGGCAGGGGGTCGGTGGAAGGATGGTCTAAACCGTTGGTTTTCAATCACTACGACCTGGGTTCGATTCCCGCATTGGGCACTTTTGTTCTGATTAAAAAAAAAAAAAATTTAAATGCTCCAATGGCCCCCGATTCTTGCAAAAGTCCAAGCCCACCAGAAAGTGCAAGTAACCAAACGGGGTTCTGGCACATTTGTAAGTGCAAAGTCGAACTGCTTTTCACATGTGTAGGTAGACATGTGGTGTGCTTACAATAAAAGCAGTCGTCTACTTCTACCCACCATTATTATCATGGCATGTACCACGTGTACTAGGGATAAGCAAAAAAAAACCGTTTTGGGCAGATTCTGCCAATTTCTCCTCTTGTGAGGCATTATGATATTGAAATCACCCCCTGTACTGATAGCCTGAAACCATAGTATACCATAGGTTGGTTTTTGTTAGAATCTGTCAAAACTGGTGCTGTGGCCATTCTAAATCTGCTCACTTTGCATAGAGAAGATTGAAAAACGCCAGGTTTTTTAATGTATTTTTAAAGGGATAAATATAAAGAATCATTTTATTCTTTTGTCTGATGATGGTAACAACGCTGTTACCAAAATGTCACACACTATTAAATTATTTGGATTAGGTCTTGTAGCTATAGTCTACTAGCCGAATGACCCGGGCAACGCCCGTGTTTTACCCGATTGAATGTTTTTATTCAAATACTATTTGTTACAATTATAAATTGGCGCCTTAAATAAATGCATATATTAGTTAATAACTATAGCCTATGTGCTTTATCTGTCTATGTACTGTTGACTTCCGTAGGTGTCTCTTACTGGGAAAAAGAAAGAGAGGATTCCATTTAGTTATTAACTAATATATGCATTTATTTAAGGAGCGACCCGCTCCAACACAATAGTTACAAAAACGAAAAAGCGAGTGGGGGGGGGGGGGGGGTAAAGGTGGCGTGATCGTAGCCAACCAATAGGAGAGCGCCATTCCAAAAAAAAAAAAAGCAAACAGTGGCAGAGATGAAAACTGAAGAGTTGATTAAGAATGCATGACGCTCGTAACTGTATATATAATGTGTGTGGAACTCTTTGAATTACCAAGATTACAATATAGAAAAAATACAAGGATAATAGAAGAGGATCTCCTAATGGAAAAATGAAACTACAACACATTTTTTTTATGTATTAGAATGATATATTTTCATGATATTCTCTTCTCAAATTATAGAAATTGAGATTTTAAATTCTGCCCCAATTCAGCAAAAGTCTACCTATATTCCATGGCTTTAGTCAATGACTCTCATAGGTGTGAAGTCTTACACATGAAGTTATGTAATCAGCCTAATTTAAACCTTGCAGAAATTTGCTATCTATTTTTGCCTAGAAAATCAGTACAACCATTTCAACCGAAACACCTTTTTTTTTTGGCAGAGATGCCTTCTTTTTTAACACCACGAAGACCATCCTCACAGAAAAAAAAAAAAGAAACACATTAGCTTGGCAGAAAGGCAAGTAAAACTAAGTAGAGAGTGCCACCTGGTTATAAAAGCTTCTTTTAAACTGCACACAACAACAACTTGGTTATAAAATCTTAAAGTGCTAAGCTCCCAATTAATTTAATTATGGTTATATAACAACAACAATAATATCGCCCTTGGCAGCGCGGAATGCATGTTCCCAGATGGTGGATAGGGAAATGACCTTCAGATATGAAAACCAGCTGTGAAACAAGCAGAATAACTCTGACAAATAAGCAGTCACGAGCCAACAACAACATTGTTAGAAAGAGGAGAAAGACCTCTTTAAAATTCCTGACTTCAACTGACCCGGTTGATGGATCTCAGCAAGGGTCCCACTCCAGGGATATGGAGGAGCTGTGTCTGTACTCATGTTAGAGTCGGAAGCAAAGGTGTCTGCTTTCATATAAGGAACAGCCTCAAATTATAGGCAAAGTCAGACTTCACCAAAGTGTGCCTGGATCATGGTGCCATAATCAATGAAAGTTGCACCCCTACACCCCATTCCATGAGAATATTCTCAAGGAGTATGAACTCATGGAATTCCTGTAATGTTTAAACAAGGGGA